TTGTTGTTTTATTTCATCTTTAAAAATATCATCCTCGATTTTATTTTCAAACTTATTTTGATCATCCATTTCCTGGTTAGAAATTTCTCATACTTTTCCTTTTCCCTTATCAACTGTTTGTTGATCGAGGTCCATAGGTGTGGATTGAGTATCAATTTCTTCTTCTACTTTTTCATAAGACGAAGATTTGAAACTATTCGTTTCTTTTTCTTTTACTATTGGATTACTAGTTAAAATATTATCTTTGTCTTTATCTTCTTCATCTGAGTTGCTCTCATCAGTAGTATCATAATTAAGCATATAATGATAGTTAAATTTTTTTTAAAAAGTTCTAAATGTGTTTCGTATAGTTCTTTTATTATATTTAAATAATCGATCCTTTCTTTAAGAATTGTTATTTTTTGTATTTTATATTTAAAATGTTCTATAAGGCTTTTATAAGAATTCAAATCTAATTGCTCGACTTTTGAAAACTTAGTTGGTTGGGAAGATAATGGTTTATCATCTTTAAGCGTAAGAATAGCATTACCATAATATAATAGTCCAAAGTTATTTGTGTGACTTTTATTTACTTATAATAATTTTAATTTTTGATTAATATTTACTAATAACTATTTAGATTTTCAGTTTAAATATAAACTAGTAATTTGTCCTAAATTATCTATTTTTTATTATAATATATCTAACTCTATTAAATAATTTTTTTTAAAAAAGTAGTAGATAAATCAACTTAACCATTAATACTATGATTGATTGCCAATATATAATTTTTTAATTCAGGATCCACATGCAGACTATGATTATGAAGTTTTTTTAAATAAACACAATTTTTAATTTTTTGCTCCATGTTTTTGGTATTTAAATCTGTTTGTATACCATAACAAGATTCCAAAGTTAGATTAAAAGGCAACAACAAAGTCACAACACTAGCACAGAGATAATAAATATATATATAGGTTTTAGAACACAAAGCTAAAAATTAAACGTTGAAACAATAAAGAAATACTTATAAGGATAGCTGTAAATTGGAGACCTCAACTAGAATATATATATATATATATATATACATATCAACTTTGATTATACAAACTAGAAATATATAAGGTTCTTTTGATCTTAGACAAGGCTCTGATACTGATTACAAGAGAAGAATATAAAGGTAAGAAGAAGAAGATACAATGAATTTGGAAAAGGAAAAAATCGGATGAAAGATCGACACCCTCTCTGATACATGGTATCCCTTATATAAACTAACCAATTTTGTCATTATCTATTTATGACATAATTATGAGATTAGGTAGACAATATTTATGAGTTAGATCTCCTATATTTATAAGTTAGATATACATATCCACCTTTTTAGCATATTGTCTGGTCTATTGTTAGGTTGGCTATGATTATGAAGTCTTTATAGACAAATATATTTATGAAGTTGAGCCTTTTATAGTTTATTACTATTTGGGCTTTATCTTTTTTCTCTCAGTATGATTTCTTACCATAAATGCAAGGCTTGAATGTGGACTAATAGTGGGTTTTATAAATTGTTTTTGTAAAAGCTTATTGATTTGTATATCAAATTCATCTATATCTTATTTGGTATAGATAATTGGTTTTACTTTAATTATTTTCTTTCAATCAAGAATTTTTAAACTACAAAATTAAAGACTTCTAGACAATAATTTTAATGGTTCTTCACTAAAGGTTTTTTTTTTTTTAAGATTTTTTATAACCAGTATGTTTCAATAATGATTGATTTAATTTCAATTTGCTTAGTTTCAGCAAGTAAAAATTTAAGGTCACATATATGTTTATGAATTTTTACTAATGGTTTATAGATTCTTTATCAACAATAAATACAATTTTATTGGAACTAAACAAAAAAGGTAAATAATTATTTATAAAATTATTTTCTAATAACATTTTGCCATGCATAAAAGGAAAACATAAAATTTTTAAAATTATGAATTTTTCATTCATAAAATAAATAGAAACATTTTTTGCTTTATATCCTATTATAGTTTCTTTTCCATCAATTCCTATTACTGCTATAGGATGCTTCATTGGCTTTTATTTTTCTAAAGGTAAAGCATTACTTCTACAACTATATAAAGTTGCTCTAGTATCTACTAAAACATTTAAAGAGTATGGTTTATACTATTTAAATTTAAATTCTACTTCTATATAATTGTAATACCTTTTTGGTTGATTTTTTGAAAATATAATAACTTCATCATTACCAATTTTATATTGGTTGATGATAACCAAACTTTGAATATTATCTTTTTTAGTATTTCTAGAAGAAATTGAATTTAAAACAGAGTTTACGAAGTTGTAAACCAAATTATCTTGATTTGACTACTTATATCTCCTAAAAAGATATGAATATTTATATTTTTTGTTCCTATAGATTGTGGTTGAAATTGAAAATAATGTTTTTGAAAACTAAATGATGGTTCATTTTCAATACTTTCAATATCTTCATTATCTTTATTTGAGAATTAAGGTATGAAAGAGGATGATAGTAAAACTAAATTGCTACTAGAACTACTTTTTTCACTATTTTTAAAATAAAGGTTATTTTTTAAGGCAAAAAATTCAATGGATTTTATTTTTCTATTAGAAGGAGCAAGTTCTGTAATTAGTATCTTTTCTTGCTAATTTCCTAAACAGGCATAATGGATCGAGGTAAAAAACCTCGATCAATTCTCAGACTAGGCTTAGACTGAGAATTAGGTCTACCAAAGTGCTTAGACTGGGTTTCTAATAGAACAAGCTTGAGTTGGGTCCACCAAGTGCAACCCACTTGGTTTGCTATGCCTTTTTTTTCCTTAATGAGCTATTTTCAGATTTCACCTTTTTAGCCCCCTTTGACTTTTGTAACACCTTTTTCTTTCACTTTTTATTACTTTCTTTCCCAAATTAATTATGCCTTTCCTCTCTTAAAATTAACGAAAAATATATTTTTTTAATTATACTGCTTTATTTTTTTTTATTTGCTTGACTTTGGTTCTTCACTTTGGTGGGCACTATGATTTTTTTATTTATTTTTTTCTCATTTTCGAAGGAACAAAAAAAGGATTTTTGGGTCTATAACTGGTGATTTTGCTATGGATGATGAAGTAAGCAAATAAATGTGTAATGTTAAGTGATAAGGGTTATTATATGAGCGATTTTCGGCTGAGATGCATGTGTTAGGTGGAAGAAGTGAAGGTAGAAACGATTTTGGTTAAGTAAGTTTTGGGGATGCTTCAGGGGTTGATGGTTTGGGTGCAGGGGTTGGTATGGTGAAAGTGGTTTTCAATGGTGTTGGGTTTTAGTATTTGTGATGAAAAATGGGTGAAAGGGTTAGGGTTTTTGTTGGATGTTGAGAGTTTTTGCTTGATGGTTAAATGGTCTTTGAGATTTTTTTTGCTATTTTTTCTCCCCCAGCAAACTGCAAATTTGGCTTGTTATTGTGGCATAGGTAGGCAGCTTGTTGCCTTCTAGTACCATGGTTGTTGACCACACATTGTCAGCTTTAAATTTGTCGATTTCATTTTTTTTCATTTTTAATAGTTTTTCATTTAATTAAAGCAATTACAGAGAATTGGGCCCTAAAATTTTGAGCTTTAACTTTTGATTTTGGATTTTGGGCTTTTAAATCCATATGACCTAATTTTCAATTGGCCTAAATTAAATTAGACTTGACTTTGGTCTATGTAAAATGAAAAAAATAATTAATTCGAAACAAGCCTAAATGAAATCAATTCAATTTAAAAGCTTAAGCTAGCCCAAATAAAAATGTTTAAACCAAACACAAAAAATTGAATAAACTCGAATCGACTCGAACAAAATTAAGTGCTACAAATTAAAATACAAATTGTTTCTAATGGCTAACCTTTTCAAAAGCCTTGTAGAAAGTAATGTAATTGTACTATTCAACTCCCCAAAATATGAAGAGAAATTTGCCCTAGTCTCGAAGAGAAGTTAGCGATATCTCTTAATTGGATTTGGTATTATTTTGGCAGAAATTTGTAATAGTGCTTGAAACCGATTTGTTTGATTTTTTCACCCTTTTTCTCCAAAACAGGCATCTTTCCCTCTTCTGAATAAAACATAAATATCCATCAAACTTCAATCTTTTAATGATTGACTCTCTACTCCAAAATTTCACTAACTATTTTTTATTCTTTTTCTTGTCAATTGCTTTTTATTTTTTCTGTGACTTTGATGTTGATCTCATTCGATTTATATAGTGATTAAATCTTGATATAGATTATATTAAAAATTTAAAATTACATCTCATCTATTAATCTGATTTCAATTTCAAATAAGTTTAATCCAAATTTTCTCAAATTTCAAAACTTTTCTTATCTCATCATTTTTTTGAATTTTTTTTGTTTTTGCTCTTTTTTTGTCTTTATCCTTTTTTTTTTTTAATAAAAACAGGTGAAATAAAATAAAATAAATTAAGCTTTTGAACAACCTAAAGCATTATAACCCAAAAATAAGTCCCACAATGTTGTGGTCAAAACATGACTTGGACTTAAATAGATCAATCTAATTTAATTTTAAGCTCAATTCTTATCCGTAAACAAACAAGTCTAAAAATTTTAAATATCTTGAACTAAATTAGGTATTTATAGTAATTTATATAAAAAATAATATTTTATAAATATAAAATATTATACAATAATAATAACAAATTAAGTCTTATATCTCATAATTCTAAGATATATTATATAAAAGGCAAAAAAAATTATATTAGATCATAATTTTAAATAATTTACATCATTTATTTCTATTAATAATCGATGTTACAATATTATCAATCCCAAGCCCGGATGAAATAAGGAAGGTTGAGATAGACTGATGATTATAGTAAAATATAATCAAGCTATTATGAAAGACCAAAATAAAAAATATATATTATATTAAATTTAAATTATTAAATTAATTTTGATTTGGATTAAATAAATATATGAATAGAATATGAAAAAAAAATAATATTTCTGGTGTAAAGTCAAGCCGGAAGGAAGTGTTAATATTGAAAAGAGAAAAATCCGCTCCAAGCCGATGGATGCCATCCATCTGAATGGCCCTGTAGCGGTAGTGTAGCATCATCATTTCATAATAAATAATAAAAATTGAAATTTGAATCCTCAAAACTAAACCGAGAAAAGAATCTTCAGATTCATGGCGTCGCGGTTGCAAATTAAGGGCGATGACTCAGTGCTGCTCCGAGTCACTCACTCCAATCTTAAAAGCTTCAACACCGATGTTCGATTCTCTCTACAGGTTCCATTTTCAACAGGTTTTTTTTTTTTTTAATTATTCCTAAAGTTGCTTTTTTTTTTTTTTGCAAAATTAAAAAAAAAAAGTTGAACATTTTCTTTGGTTTAAAGATGAGCGTGGAAGCGGTGAAAGAGAAGCTATGGAAGAAATGTGGGACTTCAGTAAATTCAATGCAGTTAGAGTTATACGATGATTGTAAAAATAAACTTTGTGATTTAAGTGATGATTCAACACCTCTCGGTTTCTATTCTCCACTTGATGGGTTAGTCTTTTACCAATTCCACTTTTATTTTTATTTTTTATTGCTAGCTATCATTGTATTGCCTTTTGATTCCATTGTTTTACTATAAAAAAGGTTCCGAATTCACGTTATAGATCTTGATCCTTCATCAGTAACCTCTGGAGGATGGCTTGAAGATACTTCATTAGTCGAAAAGTACTCCATTTCTGAAGATGAATACAATAAACGTTCCGGTAGGTTAGTTACCTGTGAAAGCTGGTCATGTCAGAATGTTTATTCACGTGGAAAATTGTTATGTCTGCTTTCTCTTTCCTGTTAATTTAGCATGTAGTTGTGTTGGTTTGATCTTGTTTGTTGTTTCAGGTACTTTTAGGAAATTCAAGGAAAAAATGGCATCTCAAAATCCATCTGCATTTAGGAATAAAGTAAGTATCTCTTATTTGATATACATATATGTACATATATATATGTATATGTATTTGTAGCTTTAAGCTATATGCAACTGCAAGTAGTCACAAGCAACGATACCTTTTATATTATTATTATTATTATTATTATTATTATTATTATTACTACTGGTATTTGGAGCTGTTAGGATTTGATTCCAAATTATTACTAAGTGTAATCATGCACAAATTGCTGCTATTGTTGTCTTGATCATACTTATTTTGAATTCATTTGCAGATGTCAGATGACTACATGGAAGACCTCTGTGCAAATATCAAGGTTGGTTATATATTTTCTTTTCTCTTCTTCAAGGATACTTGGCTTTTTTGCAGAATTATTAAAATGCTTTTTGGAATCCCAGTCTTTTAAAGAAAACAAAATATTGTTCAATTTCAATATGTGCTTTCTTTTTTATAAAGAAAAAGGGAGCAAGATAATACCTTAGCGTTTTATTGATTTATTCCCTTTGAACACATGATAGTTCTGGCTGGAACTATACCACGTCTGTCCACCATCTTGACTGATGAAAGAACTTAATAAAATTCAATTGTAGCGAACTTTTCCAATTTCATCATCTTTACGGATCAGAGATTAGTTAGTGTTCTGCTTGGTGCTTTTCTTTTTATCCTTTTGAAATGTTACTTTGGTACCTAGTAAATAATCATTAAAACATGTGGTTTTTCATTTCTTGATGCACAAGGGAAGCTAATGAAGATCTTAGACTAATTGATAGGGTACTTTGTTACTGTGGCAAAGAAATGGCTAATTAGAAAATTTATAGTTATGGGAGGATGAACTTATATAAATCCTTCTGTTCTGTGTGTATTGCATGATTGCTAATATTTCTTTGATAATATACAAATCCCAAAAATGTTGCAAATAATGTATGCAAAAATGCTTCTTGGAATTACTGGTAAGTCAACTGCACTATGTAAGAATCATTGGTAGTTAGTTTTTTTATTGTGATTTGGTTGACAAGAAATCTGCTGTAACAGCTCTTGACAATATTTACAGCTGAACGTGGGAACATTTTTCAACTCTTTTCACAGTCAGTGCTTGTTTAATCAAGAAAAGTTTAGTTGTACTTTTAGAAACATAAAAGGATTTTAAAAGGCCAAAATCTCAACAAATTCACCACTTCATGCTTGATAATGCTTACCTACAAGCAAACATAGTTTTGATGTCTTAGATTCAACTATATTAAATGTTTTATTTACATATTACTTCTAGAATTTGTTTTGCATCATTTTTTTCTGTAGTTAGGAATGTCCTTGATTCCTCCCTCCTGTTTCTCAACATATCAAATGTCTTTTGGGTTGTTTTGCCAGCTTGCTTCAACTTATGTGCCATTCCTTCTCTTTTCATTGTATCAAATCAGGTAGGAGACAGATGTGAAGTTGAACCAGGGGAGAAAAGAGGGGTTGTCAAATATGTGGGTCGAGCAGAAGCATTAGGGCCAGGCTTCTGGATTGGAGTTCAGTATGATGAACCGTTAGGAAAACATGATGGCATGTATGTAAACTGTATTCTTATTTTCTTATTGCTCTCATCATTTTTCGTATGGTTTTTCCATTATTTTCTTGTTATATATACTTTTTTGTTGTGTGATAGAAAGTTAGAAACTCCAAGAAGGATTGATATATATATTTTTGTTCAATGATATGTCTTTTAAAGAATGCAATTTAATTTATTCATGTTGAAGGTGGTTAGGATTTTTTGACACAGATGCATTAAATAAACCCTATTAGGAGTGAGGATACACATTAAATAATTTATCTTGTTTGGAGGCGTTTTTATCTAATTAAAAGGAGATGACTTTAATGCTTTGAGTTTAATGATAGACAAACAAAGTGGGAAAATCAAACAAAATGAATGAGAACCTTTTGGATTAAGTTGACATTTTTCATCAGAGTCCCATAACAGAGTATAAGGATCTATATTCAGGGCCTCATTTGCAAGACCGTACTGTGCTTGGTGTAGCATCATCCGTTTCCCCCAACATTATGAATTGTAGCTTTATGTCATGTTGAAATTCATGTTGGCAGCTGCCTGGGCTTTACTTTGCATTTCGTGCTTGCACCATACATTGCGGAATTAATTCTTCTCTCCAAGTCATTTCCTTGCACTACTCATTTTCATTTGTTGTATAATCTGTTGATCATACTGCAGGGTGAAAGGAACACGATATTTTCAATGCCCTCAGCTTTGTGGTGCAATGGTTAGGCCTGACAAAGTAAAGGTTTGTATGCAACTATGTTAAATGATCTAAGCATTTTGGGGTTCCTCCGAGGCCTTTTCTAGTTCAAATGTATTAGGTAGATACATCCTATTATGAAGCCTTTTGCTGTTTCAAAAAGATGTCTATGAACTGTTTATTGTAAGATCTCCCAATGCATATTTACCTAGAAGAATAGTTTGATAGGCCAAATTGCCCACTAGGAATTTTTTTATGAGGTAGAGTGTAGATTTGAGAATTAATCTGCGTACTTCAGTGAATCACAAAAACCATACTGCAGGTAAGAATTTGATTTCTTCCTTGTAGCCAGTTTTTGAGGGTTTGACCAGATCCTCTCTTTCTATATCATCTCTTTCAAAGATTTTCATTTATGGTAATTGGAAGATATAGTTTATATTCTATTCCCGTTGTCCCAATTTGTTAGTCCATGATAGAATTGCACAAACTTTTAGAGAGCAAGTTTACTACATTATAATTCATTTTCCACATGTCTACTAATTAACCTTAATAGTATTATTTGTTTTTTGTTTTGTTTTCTTCTGATTGTTATTTGTAGCATAATTACAAATAGAAAGCAAAATTAATACTGACTGCTAATTGATTTATGGTAGTGGATGGGTCATGGAAAAAGTGATAGGCAGATTAAAAGATGGGATAAACACAGTAGACATTAATTCTTTGCAGATTATACTCTAGGGAACCGGGTAAGTAATTCTTTTTGCTTAGAAAGATTTAGATCCAAGACCTATTCTAGTTCCATTGTGCCAAGTGCCAACCTATGAAGTGGCTAAGCCCAAGGGCAAACTAGTGAGTTCTCTTCTTTATTTACATTTGAAATAACCGTGCTAGACTTCTCTGTTGAATACCTAACAAGTCTATCCAAACAGCTGATCCGACTCTCTATTTTTATTTTTTAAAAGAAAAGATTTTGCATATATGTTTAATAGATAGCTTAATTGTTTTTCATATCCAAAGTCCAAGAATGGGCCCAGTTAGTAAATATTTGGGGTCTTCCAACCCTTTATGTATACTACTGCTTTTATTTATTTGAAACTAAGATAGGTGCTTTCCTGTCATTCCCAGGTTGGTGACTATCCTGAGCGAGATCCTTTTGAGGAGGATGAATTATAATTGTGTTCATGAATGGGTACTGCTGCATTCTATGCGGTATAAATAACCTTAATGAGATTGGTAATGATTTTTCATTTATGTTTGATATTGTTGTGACATATTTGGTTGGGAATGATGTGTGAGATTGTTTGGAAGATAAGAAACTTTTAAGCTTCAAGAAGATAGTATTTGCCTTTTTGTGTTTGCCTCTTGACTATTGTTGTAGCAAAAGAATAGAAATGATCCCAAAAGGGGAAGGATACCTACCTAGGTTCTTCTTGTTTCTTTTGTACCCTGGCTTGGAAAAAGAAAACTATTATTGTAGTTTGATTGCTTAAAAAAATACAAATTGAGCTCTGTTGAAGCTCGCTTAAATTGCACCAGATTTTCTGTTGGCATTGGAATTTATTTTTGAATCATTTTTTGAAAGGCTTTTTGTACTCACCTTGTGGTAACTAGTGCTTTCAAACACATAATGGATTCCAAAGTAGCCAACAGGTGACTGTCTTTCATTCAGAGACATGGTTGGGAAGATTAGGTAAAGCTGGAAAATAAGATGTAGAGGTGCAAGTATTTTGCAGGTAACCTTAATGGAAGAGGATGCACGGTAACAAAATTTTCCAATGGATTGGGTTGTGGCTTTTGAGACTTGGTAAAAATTGCTGTGATTAAGGTGATCCCTTATATCTGTCATTCTCCTTTCCTTTTCATTAATGAAAAAAAAAAGGGGGGGGGGGGGGGGGGGGGGAACGTAACAAAGTAAACTGACAAGAAATAATATTTCTTGATGGGAAGGAAAATGATTATTGTCTTATGCAATAAAAGAGATATCTAAAGCAATTGGGGAACAAATGTTTAATTTTTTCGTGGGTGATACTGTCTGAAACTATAGGTTCAAAATATTTGTGGAGAGAACCTAGCCTTCAAGCAGAACAATCTTGACCACCGACGAGTCACCAATCTTTTGGAAGACTACAGCTTGATCATTAGGCTTGAGCAATCCTACAGATTTACCGTGATCCAGGGCGAGTTTCAACCCTAATTCGCCTGAAGTAGCCTGTATACACAAAGGGAAGAAAAAAAAAAAAAGATGAACGCTAGAGTTAATCCACACAAATAGTATTCCCCACGTTTTGGAAGAAAGAAGAGGAACGTGTTCTTAAATTTGATAATTCAAAACACAATACAATGATATAATATAAAAATAATATAAAAAAAGATATGAAAATAATATTATTTAAAATTTTAATAAAAATTATATATGAATTTAATAAAAACAAAAAATACATATTTTATATATTTGTATCTATGAATTATAACACATAATTTTTGTATAAAATATGATACAAATTATGAATTATCAATGTTTTATATAATGTAGATCTAAGTGTTTCCTCGTACGAATGACCTTCTAAGCTGCAATGTGCTCTAATACTAACAGAACGCTTACCATCTCAGGAGTGGTCAAAAGAGGGTAGACTCCTCTAACACCAAGCAACTGCCTAGCCTGAAAAGCAAGACGTTTATGCTCACTTGAGGATTATAACTCTTGAATAAGAATATTTTAGATAATTAATATTGCTCAGAAGATTTATGGAAGGAAGTTGAAAGTACCTGTGATGAACCGGTGAAAGTCCACTTAAGTGAATTTGTTTTGAGGCGTGGAACGACAATTGCTAACACAGGCATCGGTGGCTTATATTTTGCAATCAGCCTGTCAAATACCAAGTTGGAAACTCAGCAAGTAACCTTAGATTTCCATTGGTCATCTTCAGGGATATGTCTATATATACCTTGCTGCTCCACCTGATGATGTGAACACAACAATAATTGCAGCCTTGACCTTAATCGCAGCTCGTACCTGCAATTACAGAAGAATTTGTATTGAATCCTTTGGTTTAAAATTCAAGAACACAGCTTTTGGTACTAAAGGACTGGAAAAAATTAAGATACCGCTGATGAAGCGACAGATTCTGCATGAGACATGGGTTCTCCAACATGCTTGACAATTCTCTTGAAATGAAGGGAGTGATTATATACCCTTTCAGCCTGCACATATCAGAATAAAACATTGATCATTGCATGATGCACATGAACTGAATCGTTCTCAATATGATTTTAGTGGAAATCTTGATTTTATTCAGTTTCTTAAAACCATTCAAGCTTAAGGATCATATGTAATTCTTCAAATCGTACCTCATTTTCGTGCTGAGTGCAATTATGGATAAATTAATTATGTGATTTTATATGTTAATAATTATTTGATAATTCTCTTAAAAAGTTGGTTATCATTGAAAGGAAGAAAATATTCATGTTGCCACCAAAAAGTTTATAGAGCAGCGCATGGTAAACACATAGGGATATATATATATTAGACACACTTACTTCAGCGCAAATTCTCCCCACAGTTGTCACAGCTTCAATGGGATACAGGCCGCGTAAAGTCTCAGCGCCCAATAGGATACCATCAGTACCTAATTTTAAACAAAAGGAATGGAAAAATTTTAATATAAGGGACCAAATTGAGCTGATGATTTATTTTCTCATAAATCAATTCACAAACCATCAAGAACAGCATTGGCAACATCAGTGGCTTCTGCACGTGTTGGCCTTAGATTTTCGGTCATACTATCGACAACTCGAGTAATGATAGCAGGTTTTCCTACCATGTTGCACCTATGTACAGCAGATTTCTGAAACAAGAAAACCTACAATAGAAAGAAAAGGTTATGGTAGGAAAGGTGGCAATCACAAAATTTCTAGCCATCCATTGCAATTTGCTAATTAATCTGGTCAGTAAAACAGGAATAATCATCAGTGAATGACCTACATTACATTAAAATCATACTAATGCAGAATTTCTAGAAATATTACCTTTTCCGGTGGAAGGTCGATGCCTAAATTCCCACGAGAAAGGATAATACCATCAGCTTCATGAAGGATGTCATCAAAATGCTTTAAACCCTTGCATTATAATTTAAAAAAAAACCATCATGGTGTGATCAGTTGAACATCAAAGATACACAAAAGGTAATGATAAAGGAAACAATTTTCAAAGGTTGAGAGACCCACAAAAGTAATTCTATGAATTGAATAAATAATCTTACCTCTACGGTTTCAATTTTGGCAAATATTTGAGTTTCATGAAGATTCTGTGTTCTAAGGAAAGCTCTAAGCTGCAGAATGAATAAACATGCATGTGTCATCAGCAGTGTATGCATCCAGTCAACATTCAAAACTTTGAAGATAACATTGAAAAGTTGCTGTTATTTATATGCTCAACACCTTTGGCTGGCAAAGGATCTAGACAAGCAACCATGTAGAATAGAAGCATCTTCTTGATTATAAGAACAAATTCATCAGATTTTCTTTAGACAAGAACTCTTAAAGGAAAAAGAAAGATAAATAAAACATACCTCTCGCACATCTTCGGCATGCCTTGTATAAGAAAGGGATATAAAATCAACATTGTTGCGTCTTCCCCAAGTTGAAATGACCTATCCCAGTGAACACAGAGGACACATATTTTTAATTGATGCCAATCATCTTCAACTTGAAAGCAGTTAGAACTCATAATAAAGCATCAACCATATTCTGAGACCTACATTGCACTCATTGAGCATTAAACTTTCATTCAGAGTAATTGGAGAAAACAGCAAAAGGCCAATTTAGCTAACAAGTTGAGGATTTAACATTTCAAACATGCTCCGACTATTAAGTCTGTTTACAAGTACATTGAAAGAAGTTGACAAGCATATAATCAAGAATTACCTGTTTGTCATTCTCATTTAAAGTTGGTAAGTCGATGTGAACCTGGGAAACATGCATGGTGAATATTAACCCTGCAAGAGTAGCAGTGTTTTTCACAAGACAAATAACATCCCGATCCTTCGTCTCCAAGACCTGGCAAATTAAAGAACAGAATCAGCACACTAATATTAGCTACTGACCTAAAAAATTCTTTAATGAAGCAATACTCAGTCAATGACAATTTGTACCTCAAGCCAGACTGATGTAGTTTCACTTCCTGTGAAGAGATACTGCCCAAGAAAAATAGTATCACCCTTCTTCACTGTCTGCAGTTCACATGAAAAAGAAACCGAGTACAATTTATTGAATGTAAAAAAGTAATGGTTCATTTACCTAATGTCAGCATCAAGCCAGTAACTACTGTCTGCAAGAAAATAACATAGTAGCCATTGCATTTCCACTACGCTTTTCACATGAGAATGCATCCGAAAAATCAGAGGTACAAAGAGCGAAAAGAAAAAGAGCATAACAAAGTATATTCTGAAAGGTTATAAAAGAAACAAAGGAATAAAACCAGAAATAGATCAGAACATTTAGTGGATATGATGCTTACTTTTCTGCTGAAAAGAGTGAAAATCAGGGTGATAAACTTAAATCAATAAATTCCTCACATAGAAAGCCACATGTAAATAACAATATGAAATCCATGACCTCCATAGCACAATTTTTATTCCTATCCTTTGTTTTTTTCCTTTTCATTTTACTGAACCCCTATTATTTTCTTTAGTTCTTTAGTTGTTGAGTAAAACTATATGACATAAAAATGTATAACATACCCCAGCAAGTCCAGAATAACTAATGGGTAAGACTTCTGCTGATGGTTCTTTTGTAGCATCTGGCGTGATGGTCACAACGTCATCAGCCTTAAGCTCGATCGGATTAGCAGTCTTGTTGTAAACTTTAAGTTCTGGACCCACAGTGTCTAGCATAACCTGAAAATTACGGAAAACATGAGTTTTTAAACTCCATGTGTGAGGTTAAGAGACAAGCACACATTCAATTTCATTTTTAATTAGTTTTTTTAATATACTCTAAAAAAAATTCCACCGGCGGTGGATGAGATAATTTTCCTTAAATCAAATCAGATAATATGAGATTTCATTAGCAATAAAGCATGAGAGGGATATTACTGAACTAATTTTATAATTAATTACTTACAGCACAAAGCTTCCTTGCACTTTTCACAGCTATTCTTAAATTTTCAATAGTTTCTTGGTGATAGTCACTGTCCAACCCAGAAAAATCAAACCGTGCAACTGTAAATGAAGACTACAATTAGACATGAAGGATAAATATGAAGATGCATAGGAAATCAAAATGCAGAACTGATGAAGGCATACAAAAGATTACCTGACATTCCGGCCTTTAGGCATGCTTCAATTACCTCAACAGAACGTGACTTGGGTCCAAGCGTGCCTACTATTTTTGTCAGTGATGGCAAAAAGCTCTGCAATGTCACACAAATAAACTTCATACTTCAACTTAACTCCATGTATCACTTCAACTTTTATATAAATTTCATAATTCTAACACTCATTTCTGGTTTAATTTTTATAAATTTTTCCATTCTATTTCCGCGGAACAGCTATTGTATTCTCCTTCATCACATTCCATGAAAACGTATAGATTCGAATCCCTAACTCTATCCAAGACAGTTAGCTATAGAAGCATGGGAATGCCAAGACAAGCATATAATGACTACTCAAATAATTTGTTCATGAAAGAGAAACACTGGTTAGTTGCATACCAATTTAGAAGAAGTTAAAACAGAGGAGAGCCTGAGAGGGCCTTCAGCCACCATTTGTCCCCCTTGCATTGTCCACAACTTGAATTCAGACACACAGGGATAAAAGTGGAGTGAGTAGTTAGTTAAGGAGGTAGTTTTTGGCGGGCAAAAATAAATAGGCAGCGGTAGGTGGTGGGCAGGGCTCCCATATGTTTGGGGTTAGGTATAGCTAAAGGCCTGACTCAGGCACGAAATCAGATACAACTAACATGTCTTGATATGTTCTGCGTTTACTTTAATTGGTGTTTAACGGCCGCCAGCTTTTCATGGTTGAATTTTGAACCTTCTGTTCATCTAAGTTACCTAACTCCCAAGCGACAACTAACATTTCTTTCTCCCCCTACAAAATAAAGGATTTAAACCATAGCCGCATTTTACATTTTAGGATCATGGATGGGTTGCATTTTATAAGGACTCAAATGCATTTATGAAAAATAAAATAATCAAATAAAACAAATTAATCATTACTTATGATACACTAATAAAAGGCTAAAATAAAAAAAAATTTAAAATATTAGAAAATTGTAACTAAACTCTAATACTATTTTAAATCTAAATAAGCCTTTCAATTTTTATTTTTCACCATTAAACCCTTCTAAGACGTGTGGACTCAATGATATGACAAAAAAATATACATAGGTACACAATAATGTACACATAACAAAAAAGTATAAAAATTTTTTTAAGAAAGGCAGTCTAACAAATAATTTTTATTGAATGATACCATGACAAAATTTATTAGCAAGAAAATAGCAATATATAAAATTAATTAAAAAAGTCTATATTTATATGAAAATTAATAAAATGATTAATTATTTGATATTATTATAAAAATAATTAGTGAAAAATAAATATCTATATGTAAAATTATTATTTATTAATATAAAAGAAATGTTTATATAAAAATTATAAAAAAGAAAGAGTAATTTATATGAAAATTAAAAAAAAAGATTAATTACTTGATACTATGACAAAAAAATTAGTGAAAATGAAATATCTATATGTAAAATTAATATAAAAAGGAAATGTTTATATTTATATGAAATTTTAAAAAGTGATTTTAATTTCTTTTTCATTAATTTGCATATAAATGTACACATTTCTTTTTTTTTTTTAATTTTACATATACACAATTTCTTTTATTAATAATAATTTATTATATTTGTTAAAAATATAAGAACAATGAAAATATTTATTATTTCATATCATGATACAAAATAATTATTGAAACGAAAATATCCAGACATAAAATTAAAAAAATAAAATTGCATTTATGATCTCCAATGTACATATTTTATAGGATAATTTTACAAATTTTATTTATAGATACATACAATAATCACTTGTAATCTTAAGCTAGCACTCATTCAACATTAAAGCCACAAAAGTAATTTTTATTTTTTACTAATCTTATATATTATTTTTTTTACTAATAATTATTTTTCCGTGGTATCAATCAATAAAGTTTTTGTTAGATCATACTTTTGGAAATTTTCTTTTCTTTTTTTTTTTTTTTTTAGCACTTTTTTTGGCCAAGTCTACATTGTTGGGTCCACATGTACATTTTATGTTACATCGTTGTGTTCACGTGTCTAGAGCAAGCAGCCGACTGCTATAGGTTCTTTCCTCAAAAAGAGTGCGGGTATTCGGATAGCCGACGTGGGGCATTCAATTGCTTACTTTATGGCTTTCAAGTAGACATGTGCCGTCCTAGTCAATTTAATGATGCATGTAGCTCAATAATTTGTTTTAGTAAAAAATATACTTATTTGTTAGATTAAAAAATACTTGGTCATGATTTGAACATTATACATTTGCTCCTTAATTGAAAATCATTCCAAAAATAAATCATAAATTGAGATTTAGCCCCCAAAAAAAAAAATTCTCTTTACAAGATTTCAATTCCTAATAACATACAGCATGATGTGTAGTAAAATATCATTAAAAATTTAGGGTTTTGTTTATTTTAGTTGAGGATCATTACAAACACTAAATTATAGAGCACTCCATCATGTGGGGGAAAAGAAAAAAAAATTATGCATATAGTTTTGATGCACTATTAGTGTGTGTTGAATCTATACATTGCCACTTAATCACATTCGGACAATTTATTAATGAATAGATTAAATAATTTTGAAGTCTTTAACAATAAATATTTATTTTTGTAAATTTAAGTATTTAAAATTTATGTAGATTTATTCTTAAGGACTTTAAAAATTTTGTAATTTATTCGTTAATGAAGTGTTATGATGCGATTAACGATAACGTATAAATTTAATATAAATCACATAATTATAATTATAGTTTTATAATAAAAACTATCATATAGTTTTTTCAAAAACACATAAATTTTTATAATAAAAAAAGAGTAAATTTTAAAATTGAATTCTCTCTCTATTTTCAAAGAAAAATAAAATATTATTTTATTTTATTAATTCATATATTTTATTTTTTAATTTTTTATCAATTTCTTAAGGTAACGTTTGATATCATTTTCAAAGTCACTATAATAATTTAATTACCTAGGTGATCTTATTATTAAAGTAATCTTATCACTCATTATTTGAAAATCACTTTATTTTGGTTACAATCATTAATCCTTAAAAATTAAAAATCATTATGTTTGACATTACTAAAAATCAAATATTATTTTGTATAAAATACCAAAAGAACAATGTATATTATAATAGTTATCCAATTTAATGATTTCAATAGTATTTAAAAATAATAATTTATAAAATATTAGCAATAATTTGTATAAAATATAATTATATTATTTAATTAAAAATATTTTTATTGATAGATAAATTAGTTTTTATAATACAAGTTATGTTAAAAAATTGAATTAAAAAAATAAAAACTAATCTATTAAAAGCAATTATATTTAAGCATATAAAACATTAAAAAAGTAAAAAAAAAAGAAACATAAATTATTTTGAACTTGTTAAAATGAAAATTAGTTTGAAAATATAAAAATTTATAATATAAAATAATTACTATAAATTTCCAGAAAAAGTAAAATTTTAATTCACATATTAAATGAATAATATTGGCTATTTTTAATTTTGCATATTACTTCATTTCAATGCTAAAAGCTTTCTATCATTTTACATAGGAATTATATCACCTTTTTAATCACTTTCGATGATTTAGATTACTGTCACATAGAATCAATAAAAGAATATTTGGTATGTGGTGATTCGTTTAAAAACCATGATGATTTGCACTCAATAATTACGTCATCTTATTTTGTAGTAACTTAGAAATTCTATTTGACAGTGATCTTAAATCACTGGGTGATAAAATCACTGTCTTAAAAAATGATTTAATTCTTATCGTAAAATTTTGAAATTTTCATTTAATGCTAATGTGGCAATTGATGTTATGACATGAATTAAAATTTTTAATACATGTTAGCATCTTATTAAATGTTCAAGCCACATTGATAAATTGATTAACAGTGCTAAAATAAATGATGAAATGAAAGCTATAATATTAAATTAGTAATTTTATTTACTTAGATATCAAACTAATAAAAATATATAATACATGAGCTATTTTTATATTTAACCTTATTCAATTATGTAATTAACTCAATTTCTTATAAATTTAGATTGTTACTGGAATTTATTTTAATTTTAATTTATTATTGAATTCAATATTTCGATGTCAAATTTTGTCAAATGAAATTAAAATTTTTTTTTTTATGAAATCCATTTTTTTGATTGGGCCTTGAAACCCAAATTGAAATGCTAATTGAGACTATATCTCAAATTGGGTGGAGCCCACTAAAATTTAGAGTCTTTAATTGTTTTGTTTTTTAATTTCTTGTTTGTTATTAGTTAATTTCTTTTTATATTTCCTTTTATTTTTTAAAAAAGTCAAAAAAAAAAAAAAAAAAAACAGAATTTGAGACATCATGAGTGCTATGTCATGATTTATGTTACAAAACCTTGCCACGTTGTGTCTCTTCTTTTTTCCTTTTCCTGATGAGCCTTGTATGCATGTAAAATGTATTCAAAATGAGTCATGAGGTCGTAAACATGACATATTCAAACCTATAAACGAAAAGAGGATTATTGGCTACATTTGAGAAGCAAGTTTCAAAACAAGTCTCTGCTGATCCATCTAATTAAATAAAAATCTACATCTTTCCCTTTTCCAAGTACATAAATCTTATTTATAAAAGTAAAAATTCTTTTTATGATGAAATTAAGAGAAGAATACAAATGGTGATCGTTTGAGAATTTTTATGTGATGAATTTTTTTCAAAATAATTTTATCAAGCATGTCAAAAGGTTTTTTTAGGGAACTTTTTCAATAAAATGAATTTTTATTTACTTTTAATAATAAATTTAATAATTAATTCATAAAATTAATTATAACAAATAATTCTTTCAATTATAAAATTAAGAGGGAAATACAAATGATAATCACTTTGAAAATTTTCAAGTACCAATCATGTTAATTAAGAGGGTTTTTTTTTTTTTTTTTTTTGAGATCTTCTGATAAAGGAAATTTTATCTAATTTTTCATAAAAAATTCAAATTTAACTTAAAATTTATTTCAAAAATTAAAATATTTAATAACCAATTAAGAATAGAAAGATAATTTAATTAAGATCAATTTTAAGATAATATATAATTAATTGATACCCTTTTATGATAAATGTTATAAAATATTAATATTTTTTTTCACACATAATCATATTATCAAAATTAGTTTTGTTTCGTATACTATAATTTTTTTCCTAAAAGTCTATGATTAAATTTATGATATTTTTAAAAATGATAAATTTATTTAAGTAATTAATCATATTTAATTAAAAAAAATTTTACGATTTTTAATTTTATATGTAATGATCAAAATTTTAAATTTACGTTTGATTTAAATACATGTAATATTAAATTATATAATAAAAAATATTTTTTTTTGTTACATAAAAAAGATCTTAATATAAATACAAAAAAAATTTTCATTCCAACTTAATTTTTTAATATCGCTTCAAACGTCTTTAATTGTTAAGCTAAACGAGAGAATGGAAAGTGACTTTGATCTAGTCTCATCACACCAAAAAAGGACATAAAGTTTTATCTCTTCCAAACGCCAGCTAGCGCTCTTTCTCACCGATCGTTTCGCTTATCTTCTAAGTCAATCCTTTGTTTTGTTATCTGATTTTAAGCTCGCATTGGTATACCAAAAAGGAAAGGCAACGGACCTTTGTTACATTATTGTGGCCTACCCATCTCTGTTATCTACTCAGGGATGCGGCCAATTTCCCTGCTTCATTAGCTTCTACGTTTTTTTTTTTTTTTTTTTTTTAAAAATCTATTTTCTATCCCTTTGTTCATAAACTTTTTCTATTAATTTTCTTTGAAGAAATTTATGATTTCTTCACATAACAGCTTGATCTTTATTTCAATTTTAAAATTTTGTCTGATGGCCTGTTTTAGAGGTTGTTTTAATTAATGAATGCCTTGCTTCAGCTTACGCCATTCGATCCTAATAAGAAGAAGAAGAAAGTGGTTGTGATACAGGTCCCTGCAGATGATTGTGTTGACAGTTTCTGATGGGCTTGACTTTAGCAATCTGAAACAAGTAAGTGTACATATGGTTTCTTCTCCATCAACTAATCTGATGGTGCTTACTATGATCTTGTAGGGAGAGAGCAGTACATTCAATGAGGAGATTGGGGATATGCACAGATGTTTTTTATGGTTAGAATTTTCTTTCATTAAATCTGTAATTAATATTTTTATATTTTTTTTACTACTTATCTAGATCATATTGATGGCCATGGGTATGAAGACGGTAACGGGAGTGTCTTGCAACATTGTTATCCTTGGGAAGGAAGTAATCGTGATTATGATTATGATGAGGTATAGTTTGTAGCTCAGTGTGTTGTTGATATTGCAAGCTTCATCTTATTTATATGATTGATTGGATATTGATAAACTTGTCATGATAATGAGCCTATGAACTGTACTTGATGGAATCTTAAATTTCCTATAAGGTTTTAAGAATTTCACCATTCGCAATAATCCATTTTGTAGTATGTTTTTATGCTTCTCTAAGGCTACTGATTAAATAGCTGTCTTTGTGTCTTTCATAATTTTATTCACTTTTCTCAGCATACTTGAAAATTATTGAGTTTATATGCTATTCTTTCAGTTATACCGTTGATAAATTGTTTAACCTTCACTTAATGTGATGCATGCAGCTTGTTGGTCTGGTGTTTAACATTCTCCGGGAGAACAGCCCCGAACTTGCCGGAGATAGGCTTAGAACTGTTATGAGGCCTCCATAAGTTCTTTGTGAAGGCACCACGAAAACTGTATTTGTGAATTTCACGGATCTATGCAAGACATATGTTACTGTTCTTTTGCCCGTATTCTGTACACTGTTCAGCTATGTATAAGGTATTTGTGCTATTTGGGATGGTTGAGGATCGAATATCTCTTTTAGGGGCAAATTTTGGATTCTGGATTTTTGTTATTTATTCTATAAAAATATAGTGCTTGCTTGTTGGTCTTGCTTCATATTTATGACTTACTTCCTTGGTCCTCATTCCAACAGTCTCACTTAGGAGTTAATCTGATTTGGGGTTTGTAGTTGAGTTTACCATTTAATAGTGTTCTATTTTGCAAAGTTGGTTGACTAAGTTTCATAACAAACACCACATCCTCTCTAACAACTTTTTGCCTGGGAAAATCTTTTAGGATGCATCAACAATCAGAGCATGTTATGAACTTCTTGCTTGCTGAGTTGGGGACAAATGTATCACCTGATGGGCAGCAAAGGTTGGTTGTGAAGGGCAGGTTTGAGCCAAAAAATTTTGAAGGGATCCTTAGGCATTACATCAGTAAGTACCATTTTTATGTCATGCTAACTTATATTGAGATGATAGCAAATGTAAACTTGAAGCTGGGAATATTTTGATTGACTTCCTTCGTAAAATTTGGTTTCCTCTTCTCAGATGAGTATGTTATTTGCCTTGGATGCAAAAGTCAAGTTACAACTCTCTCAAAGGAGAATCGTCTTCTCTTTCTCAGATGTGAGAAGGTGTAGCAATGCTCACATTCTTCTTCAACCCCTTTCATCCTTCTTCTCAGATGAGTGCTATTATTTGCCTTGGGGGCTTATGCATATATAGAACTTTTTTATCTCATTATGTTATTACCTCTAGTTCTTATAATTTTTTATTAACTGGGTGGTCATGCCTATTTGGTAGGGTGGACAACCCAAATTCATCTTCTCATGGTATTAAACATTCAAGATGGTCTGTATATAGCCTTGGTTTGAGTGATGTAATTAGTAATGAATCTGTGCTTTTAGAAGGCCTAAGAATTGCCTATATTGTCAGATTTTCACTCGGATGACAGTAAAAATAACAAATCTGAGGCCTAGAGTGGCCAGTCATCACATAAAACTTGTGAAGGTGAATATTATTAGGTCTTATCCTAAATATTCAGTTTATTTTCAAGTTAAATTGATTTGATTGCCATTCTTATGTAATAGGGAACCAGCTTGGTCTTTTCTGTAGTCCAGCTTTTAGGCTTGTGAACATTTTTAAAAAAAATTATTGTGGGTCTCTAGCAGTTGCATTGCTGCAAGTTTTTCCACTATGGAGGGTGATGATGTTCTGTGAACTGCCAACATTGTCTGACTGTCTTGTGAGAGAGAAATGAATTTGTTCTGAAACCTCTTCGAAGACTGTCTTGTGCATTGATTAGAGTTTTCTGGTGGGCTTATTGACATCAAATAAATTTGTTTTTTGAGAAAAATTTTAATGGGTTTTCTAATATTTTTCTGCCACGTCTTTCTCCAAAGGAGGCTTATGATGTTCTAACAACTGCCGACATTGCCATATTGTATTGTGAATGAGAAAATGAAAGTTCTGAAGCCTCCTTTGTAGACTTTCTAAATGTTGGTTAGAATTGGAATTGTAAGGGAGTTTCATTGTGAAAGAGAAGTAAAAAAAAAAAAAAAAAAAAAAAAAAGGGAGGGAGGAGGGGTCGCTCATTTATTCTAATTAAGTTGTCTTTAACTCTTTTTTTTTTTTGTTCGTGTCATCTGCCAGCTGTTGTCCTAAAAACTTGTGATCTCATTCTTGCAGTGTGGGTCTGGACGATCTTTTGCTCCAATTAAAGCTGGTTTCGTTGCTCCCGTTGGCCACAGAAATGCTGGCACCTAGGCTTTTTGATTTGGCCAAAATGATATCCCCAATTGAGAAATTTTAATGAACGTTTTAAGTTGTAATGTCCACGGAAGCATAATTTCTATAATTATTGTAACATAATTAATTAATGATAATTTAAAAAATCAACAAAATGTTTTCTAAACTTTGATATGTTTCTATTTTAGAATCCTAAGATATAAAGTTGATAATAAATTTGAATTGATTTGATTTGATTATTTCAATTAACACATAATATTTTAAATTTATTTGATTTAATTATTTCAATTAATACATATCATTTTTAATTTTTAAAAATCAATCCAAATTCAAATTGATTTTTTTTTAAATCAAATAGATTTGAATAAAATTTTATCCATTTAATTCATCAATTTTTGAAAAATATTTTTTTTGTTATCATTTTCTATTGCTTTTAATATATTTAAATATAAAATAATTCAATTCAATTCAAATATTTTTAGTTTTTTCATTTTATGATTCTAAAATCGATTCAATCTAAGGTTAAATATTTAATATTTTATTCAAATTAAACCAAATAAAAAAAATTAATTCAAATCAAATATTATGATTTGAGATTTCAAATCGATTTTTAAATTTTTGAATTTTTTTCTTAGTCGTCCTAAGATATGAAATTTTAACATAAAAAGATAGAAGCTATACCCACCAGTACTGGATTGCACGGTCCAGATACAAGACTATCCGGTGCCTGCAGTTTCAATGCATTTCAGAAAAGTAACAGATGTATTTAACCAAGCAAAAACTATAGTGCACGATGATTTATAGAAGATTAGAACTCAATGTTGTTATCAAAAGATAAGGAGGCAAGTCCAAATATATCACGAAAGGCAGTGATACCATTTCATCCATGCTAAGTGTATATTATTTGATGTTGCAAACACCGTTGCATAAAAGTACAGAAAGAACTTCTGGCTTCCTCCCATCCAAAAATGACAGAAATATGTTGAGCTCAATAATTTCATTCTTCTACCTGCAAAATCATTGATAATTGTTGAACATTTCATTTAACTTGATTTAGAAACTGTAGCTAACAAAAAAAAAAAGGAAAGGGAACTGGGTTCTAGGTGTTACACGAAAAAAGCCTTGCATCCATTAGACAATGATTTGTTCCATTAGACAAGAAATCATGGATGCAAGGCACTTCTCATTTTCTAGACATACCATCCATTAGTCAGGCCTCATGATTTGTTCCTCCACAAATTTCAGATGGAAGAAAAATAACCATCCCAAAGAAAGTATGGCACTAATGATGCTATCAGTAATGGACATTATCAAATGGGAAAAAATCACATTCCAGTAATGCCATCGTTGGTGAAAACAATGGGCAAAAACACACGTACATATAAAGGAAATTCAAGTAAATTATGCCCAGCAAACACTGGAATACAGTGAAGCTACCTGTTTCTTTGACCTGATATTTCTCTGGGTGGTTGCGGAGAAGTCACCCTTCAAATCTTTCACATGGCCTTTTTTACCTCGGGATCGGGACACACCTGTAACAGTGGCATAATATTGTTACTACACATATTCAATAAATTTAAAAGAGCATAGTTATGAAACTAAAATTACCTTTCCTGTCAACTCTCAGTGATTGAATTTCAGTCTCCTCTTCCTGTTCACTCACTTCACTAGAAGCTCCAGAAGATTCCTCTAACTCAACAAATTTTGATGTCGACTTATCATCCAAAGACTCGGTTTCCCCATCCATGGATGTATTAATAACTTCACCATCACTAACACCTAAAAGATACAAAGTGTTAGATACCAGCTTCACTACTTTAAATGTGAATTTATAGATCCGAAGTAGATATATGAAACTATTTTCTCCAAATGGAAGCAGCTAAGCTTACAAAGAGTGAATAAGATCATAAAGAATTACAGCAATACATGTACTTAGAAACACATTGGATACCATATTAACTTAAGAGTGGAAATTAGGTATTACTATCTATCTAACATACTGACACACTTGTTTTTGTTCGTGATGTATCACATGGTACATGACATAATTATATGTCAAATATTTTTGCACCTACTGTATAAAAGATAGAAGAGGCATATCACTAGTTGTCTTTCTTGTATTTATACAAAATTTTGGTCCCTGTGGTGCTAGAGTGCATGACCCATAGGAGAAAACGTTTGAAACTTGGAACACGCTTTTCATAACCGCTTTTTTACACCAACCAATTTTCATTAGCTAAGTAGTAGAGTTGCCTAGTATAACAGTTTCCTTGCTACGTCTTTGTCTAAGATGCCGATAGAGAAAATCAAAATGCCACAAAGTACATAAATAAAGTCAGACCAGTCACAATCCTCTCTCCTCAAACATCATATAAATTTTATTATTGAAGCATGTCCGAAAATTTTGCAAATTAAAAAATTCACCAATGGCTAGTGCCTTCAAATCCTCAATAAAAGATGCTAAGATAATGTTTGTTTACTAGGCTGCATGATGTATCTAAGTAATTGCAGTGCAGCAGACCAACTCCTGACATTTTGTTATATTTATCTTTTATTCCGCAATATGAAGGTGCCCAACAATTTTGACAATAAAATTAGATATAAAGTACGTTAGTTTTCCACTCACCATCAGAAGCTTGCAGTTTAGAGATCCAAGAAAAACAAGATAGTGGAAGTAGCAAGAAATTAGATGAAGTCACAGGCACATGGCTTAAGGGAGTATGGTTCTTGCTTGGGTTTTGAGGCGTTGATGCTGCTGATGTTTGAAGATTTCCTTTTATGGTCATTATGTGTTCTTGCCTCTTTTCGGTTATGCTTTTGGATTCTAGGTTTTCTTGAAACTGTCTCCACTTGTAAACTTCTATGCTGGCTAAAAAGAAGGAAGAATGACAGTACAGGAAGCGCTTAGCATTGACTTCGATTTTTTGGTGGCTGTCAGCTGTTGCAAGAACGCGGAATAGGGTAGTGTTTTTTCATGGCTTGGTGGTGAAACTTGGTTCCTTTAGTGGGTTGAGGAATGGTGTCAGATTACAAAGTATTTATAAAGGAGCTAATGGGATTGCTGGTGCTTGAGATGAAGGAGTGGATAGAGTTGAGATGCTCATAGTTTTATGGTAAAACATTCCCTGTTTCTAGGCGTGTATCTGGTTTTGCTTGGGTGTTATTATGGTTTTTTTGTTCAATCTGTTTCTTTTATTCAAGGAGCAGCTATCTGAGTTATATGGTTCCTGGAAGTTGGATGTAACCTTTCTTTTACCATTAATAAAATCATGGCTTTGCACAAAAAAAAAAAAGGCTTAAACTCATGAACCAACCTTCCACAATGTCAGATTCTGCCCTTTCTTCTCCATTTCCGGCCATAACAAAACCTTCTATGTTGCCAACCTTCTGTTGATGTATTTCTGCATTTCTTGCAGTAACCTCTTGCTCCTTCTTTTCCATGTGGAACTTATTAAGTTTCTCCTCAAATTCCTCAATGCATACTTTTAGTTCCGGTTTAGCAAACTTCTTACCCTGTTTGCAATCAATTTGAAGAGAAAATGGATCACCTGAGTCAAAAAAGAGGCCAGAAAAACTGAAAAAAAAAAGGGGTACCTTGTTAATTATGTTTCTAAAATGATCCATCACAGAATCCTCAGATAGGGCGTGTTCATAAGTCTTGAATGACTCTATGAGCTTTTTCACTCCCTTTTCAGTGAATGACAACTGAGAAAGGCAGTAAGAAATTTTCTCCCATTGCAAAACATCTGCAGCAAAGATGAACCATTTTGTCAGCAAAATCTAACTTCTACATTCATAATAAAGAAGCATCAATTAGTTATTGTTTGTTCGCAATATTAAGCAAAGCAGTGACAAAGAGAAGAGAGACAGGGAAACATGGAGGCTGCAGCTCTCCGGAACCCTATATACTATAAATAGAAAAAAGGTGTTGTGCTTCCTAGATCCTACACATCCTACTAAAGGCAGCAAAATATGACAGAAACCGATTGCTCTGAAATAATCTACTATTTCAACTATTTGCTCATGCAATTGTTCTCAGCCAGAAAAAGGGCAAAAACATTTTTAAAAAATAAAAAAGAAATCTATAAAAGAAAGGAAATGATCTTAAGAAATAACAATCATAAATTTTGAAGCTTAAACTGAAAGTTGTAGCTTCCAACTGGATAAACATTTTTTATATATAAACACAAGGGATAAGGGACAAAACTTTAATGTTGTACTCAGGGTGATGGATAAAATTTATCACCCATTTTTAAAGGGTGCATTTTTAACACTATACTTTTAATTTGGTTAAAAAATGTCAAAAGTTGACAGCAAATTGGAATTTTCGGTAAAGAATGAACAAAATATTCTACAGAAATTTTCTTATCACTACTTTTGATCATGTTTTAACCAAATTTCAGAAACACAGTAACAGCAATATTCAAAACAGGACATTATAATAAGAATATAATCTTGAATGAATAAATATGAAGACAAATTAAAGATATCAAAGATTGCATGCCTGTGACTCCAATAAACCTATTGCAAAGCTTTTCAACAAGTGATTCCATTTGTTTTTCCTGAAAAATATTATAGATATTAAGTTAATGAGATTATAAAGAAAAATAACTTCAGTTTCAACTCAACAATGTATACCTTCTTGATAGAACCAATTAAGAACTGCATGATGTTGCAGAAAGACCCTTTCTGCAGATCTTGGGTGGATAATTTTCCAAGGATATCTGGGAGTAAATTATATATCGGATTGCTTCCTGCGAAAATAATTGGAAAGAAAACTGTTAAATATTTATTCGAGTCAAGGAAATATATGTTAGTCATTTCTA